CAATGATTTTGGTTGACAGTCACTTGAAAAATCCTAGGAGCCAAATCTAGCAGCTTGCATATTTAAATGTAAATGTCTTATGGTTAATAAACTACTTTTTCCCTAATAAGCCTATGAGGTTGCAAAATTATTATCCCGGTTTTACAAAGGAGAACAGGACAAAAGTAAAACCATGACAGGGTCCAGTGTGCGGCAGAATCTGAACAGGCATGAATAATGTTCCTTTTTGCATTAAGATTTTCATAGAGTTTACTTATCCTGTCTCAGTGAAGGGCCTTTAATCTCTTTTCTCCTAGTTAAGGAATTGTTTTACATGTCATCACTGAATTTTCCTAAAGAACAGTATATAAAAATTCCTGCTGTATACGAAATATTCTCTTTACTTGTCTCTGTTAATCCAAATCTTCTACATCATCTTAACCAAACAAGAGATTGTAAGATATGAACATACAAAATTTCAGCTACTTAAAATTGAAAAGCTTTTGGACAATCAAAATCAATAAAAATAAATTTATGATAAATAGAAGAGTAGGAAAATATGTTCATCAAATATTAATGATAAAGGTCTGCTCTCCAAACTACAAAAAGAACTGACACAAATATATAACATCAAAAACCAATTCTCAATAGATAAGTGGTCAAGGAATAAAAAGTTGTGAAAAAAAACCAGGAAACATGCTACATACAGATCACCAATAGTCTGACAAAGGGGACAAAAGATGGGAAGAGTCATTGTTAGGAGGGCCATGGAAGGGGCCTTGATCCAGCAATGGAATTGAGAAGTGACCTAATCATTCAGGGTTACCAATTTGGAAATGAGCAAGTAAAGTGACTAAGTGATCTTACTACTAGGCTAAGGAAATAAACCCAAATACAGAAATACACCAGATGCTACAATTACTGAATACAAAGTCTTTGTCCATTCATTATGAAGTATCAAAAAAAACCCCAACAACCCTATAGTAGATTATTATAATGTTCAATACAAACAATATAAAGAAACTAGGGACAGATTTGTACAAAATGATGTAAAGTGAAAGAAGCAGAGACCAAAAGAACTATATAAACACAAAAGCCACAATATGGTAAATATAATGAGAAATAGTAAAGATCACTAAAATACAACTGAAACTAGTAACTGAAAAACCAATGATACTGAAACATGCCCACTCCTCCTATCAGAGAAAGCACAATATTGTATATATGCTGTCAGAGAGTCACTATATCAATCAGATGTTTTGCTTATTTTTCCTTGGCCTGAGAAAGAGTTTAATCTTGAGGTGGGTTTGGGGTAGAGATTGGATTGAAATGACTGGGATATAAAGACCAAAAACATCAATTAAATACATTTTTTTTTAGTTATTCCAAATATTTTAATGAGAGTTCTATGCAAGGCATTTAAAACACCAGTTTATGAGGATAAACTCCATTGGAGAGAGAGAATACAGAGCTCAGGTATCCACAGAGCTGAGGAATTTTCTTGATTTGGGGCAGGATCTGAGAGTCCACTGTTTTCTGATCAGCCTTGTGCTGCTCCCTAATCTCCTATTTCTCTTTTTCTGTGTCAAAAATCTCTCCTTCTTGGTGTCTAGGTTTACAGAGCCTCTTCTTCTTGAAGTAAGCGTCAGTAAGATGATTAGGAATTTTTACACCTGAAAAGTTAACCCTGGTAGAGGTGGCAATGACAAATTTCTGATGGGTCCTTCTCAGAGGAACACGATTGATGGTCAGAGGTCCAGTCACCAGTAGCAAGCCACTAGCCAACTGCTTCAGGAAAACTACTCGCTTGCCCCTGTGGCTACCAGTGAGCATGATCAGAACTGTGCCCGGGGTGATGCTAGATCGAAGTCTCCTCACGTGCTGGCTGAAGGGCTTCTTGCCATGACTTAGCAGCTATCTAGGCACATCCTCAGTAGGGTAATACCTAGGCATCTTGCAAATCTTTACCACACGCGTTCCTCCATTCTTGTCACCACCAACTGGCTTTGAGATAGTAACAGGAACCTTCTCTTTCTTTTTCCTTTCAATCTGGGTTTTTGGTGCAGCGTATTTCTGCTTTCACATGGCTCTCCTGGAATACACTGCAAAGCTAGAGTAGCAACCGATCCCTCGGGCCAGGACTGGGTTCTGACTGTAGTGCTTTCGGGGCTTTTTCACCACCTTTTTAGCCACATCTTTCTTGTTTTTCTCCTTTTTTTCCTTTTGGACATTCTTTTTCTTTGGTTCCTTTGGGGGTTTTTTGTCCGCCATCTTGAGAGAAGGGAAAGAGCTAAATGCTTGGGGCAGGGGAATGGTAAAGGAGATCCCCACGTCAGCAGTGATTAAAACAAACACAGAAAAGTTGATCAGTGAAACAGATTAGGTACACAACATACAAAAGTAGCATAGTATTCAATAAACCCAAAGGCCCCAGCTACTGAGATAAAGACTATTTGATAAAAATCATTGAGAAAACTATTACAAAGTCTTACAGAAATTGAGTTTAGACCAACACCTCATAATATACCAAGATAAACTCCAAATGCACATGATCTAAATATTTAAAAATCACATCATAAAAAAAGAGGAGCAAGGAGGATTTTTTAAAACTATGGATGAGGAAAGAGTTTATAAAGAGTTTATAGAGAGGATCACATAAAATTGAAAAGGTTTTGTACAAAATCAACGCAGTTAAAACCAGAAGGGAAACAGATAATTGGGGGGGAAATCTTTTCAGTAAATTTTGCTGATAAAGATCTTATATCCAAGATATATAAGGCACTGATTGCAAATAATGACAGCTATTCTGCAACAGATCTAAGGATATGAATAGGCAGTTCTGAAAGGAAGAAATCCAAGCTATCAATAGCCATAATTATGGGAAAAAAAATGCTCCAAAGGCATTTTCCAGTGAATAAGTGGCCAAATAAGTTTTCAGAAGAAGAACTGAAGAGTCCTCACAGCCATGTGAAAGACTGCCCCAAATCACTAATAACAAGAGAAATCCAATTCAAAACAACCCTCAGGTTTTACCTCATACCCTGCAAAGTGGCAATGGTCAATGTGGGACAGGTTGTGGGAAGATACACACTCTAATACATTGTTGGTGGAGCTGTGAAATAGTACAGTCATTTTGGAAAGCAAATTGGAATTGTGCAAATTAAGAGACTAAACAGGGACTCTATTATTGGGCTTACACCCCAAAGAAGCCATCAATAAGAAGACAATACCCACATATCCCAAAATATTTATAGCAGCACTTTGTGATAGCAAAGAATTGAAAGCAAACGGATGCTCAAAAAAGGGGGAAGGCTAAACAAAATATGGTACCTGAATGTAATGGGCTTCTTCGTTGCCAGCCTGAGGGACTACAAGAATGGTGTTCTCCTCTACAGAAACACAGAATATAGGAAGGAGGGTAGGGGAGAGTTTAGGAAGAAAGAGAATAAGTTCAGTTTTTGAAAATGTTGACATTTAAGATGTTTACTGGGCATCCAGTTCAAGATGTCCAAAAGGCAGTTTGACATGCGAGACTGGAGATCAGCAGAGACTGGAGCAGGATAGGTAGATCTGAGAATCATCATTAAAGAGATGGTAATTATACTCATGGGAGCTGATGAGATCACTAAGAGAAGTACTATAAAGAGAGAAGAGAAGAGGGCCCAGCACAGAAGCCCTGTGTGACACATAGGACTAGAGGGCATGCACGATCTGGAAGATCATCAAACAAAGAAGAGAGAGAAGGATCAATTACATAAGTAGGAGAGAGTGACAAGCCTAGAGAGAAGAGAGTGTCCAAGAGGAAAGAGTAATCAACAGTATCGAAGGCTGCAGAGGGGTCAAGGAGAATGAGGACTGAGAAAAGGCCACTGGGTTTGGCAACAAAGCGATCATCAGTAACTCTGGAGAAAGCAATGTCAGTGGAATAAGGTTGGAAGCCAAATTTTAATGGGTTAAGAAGGGAATGAGAGGAGGAAAAGTGGAGGCACCTACTGTGTAGATGGCCTTTTCGAGGAGTTAGGTACAAAGGGTATAAGGAATATAAGATGATACTTAGGGATGAAAAGATCAAGTTAGGTTTTTTCAAGATTGAGGAGACATGAAGTAATGAAGTAAGTGGAGCCAAGAAAACAACATACACAATAACTACAACACACTGTGAATTGAAAGAACCACCATACACAAAAGAAATCAGTAGTAAATGTAACAAAATTATAAAGATCAACATGACTTGAATGAAGGGATACGAGAGGACATTCTCAACATCTAGCCCCCGTAGAAGGAGGAGGTCAATTTTTGGACTTTCTCAATATATCAACGTTGTGCTGATTTTTTCCCTCTTTGAAAAATACCATTTCTTATATGGAGTGGCTCTCTGGAAGGAGGAGGTGGAGAGATACTGGAGATAATTATGATGATGTTAAAAACAGAAGACATCAATAAAAACTTACTTAAAAAATTTAAAATAAAAATGTCTACCTACTGGTAAAGTGATAAGGAAGATGAATAAATTTGAGGGGAAAATTCATTTAATGTCAGTGTTGGAAAATTAATCCTTTTATATGACAAAGGATGGACTGAAAAATGAAGCTTCTATTGGTCAACAAAAGAGAGCAACTGATCTAACTTTATAGGATATATAAAGTACTCTCCAAACCTTAAAACTATGTAAATGCTAGTTATATTTGTACTTTATGCAGGCATGTGAAAAATTCCAGTTTCTTTTCTCATTTATTTTTCCTGTGAGCATTCATCTTCTTTCATGTTTCTGACCATTCCTGCAAACACAGTCGGTTTGTGCTGAGTTCGCTTACCTGGTTTGAATGTGTGCTGGTCAAGCCATACTTGAGAAGATTTAGATATAGAAGGGCTCTAGAGTGATAGGCCATAAGTGGTTACAAACTACTCCCCAAATTCTCTAGAAGACTGTAATATGAGGGAGTGGGAAGAGATGCTCTCCAAAGCTTCTTCCAGCCCTAAATTTTAGCATCCTTTGACTTGTCTTTTGTCTTTTAACACAGGAATTAGGTGATCTCAGCAACAATGTGTCTTGGCAAAGTGAACTACCCAAAATACAGAGATTCTCTCCTGAAAATGGCGCTTCACCATTCCTCAGTAGGTAAGTGATCAAGGGTATGAACCAACAGCTCTCAAAAGAATTGCAAATTGTTAATAACCGTATGAAAGTGCCAATGTAATCATAATACAAGAAATTCAAATCCAAACAACCCTAATACTTCACCTCATATCCAGGAAGCCAGAAAAGATGACAGAAAACAGAAACTGTAACTGTTGAAGGGATTGGGGAAAGTGAGGCACACTAATGCATTGTTGGTGGAGCTATGATTTTGTACAACTCTCCTGGAAAGCAGTTTGCAATTATGCAAACAAAGTGGCTAACGTGGCCATATCCTTTGTCCCAAGGATTCCTCTGCTAGGCATATATACCCCAAGTGCATAGTTGACAAAAAGAAAGGTTCCATATACAACATAATATTTATGGGATCAAACAAAGTAAATATTCATCCATTGTGAAATGGCTAAAAAATTGTGGTGCATGAATGTTAACAGAATATTACTGTGCTGTCAGAAATGACAAATATGATGGATATAAGAAGCCTGAAAAGACTTACATGAAGCAATTCTAACCCTAATTCTGATGCAAAGTAACATAAGCAGAGCCAAGAAAACAGTATATGCAATGACTACAACAATGCAAATGGAAATAACTACTCCCAAACACTGAAAAACAGATGCAGTGAAATTGCAAAGAATAACCTTGATCTATATCAATAAAATCTATTTGGAAAAAGAGATGATTTGGTAACTTTGAAAAGAATAATTTCAATTGAATGATGAAGTTGGAAGCCAGGTTGCAAAAGGTTTAAAAGAGAGGAAGCAGAGGAAGTTAGTGTAAATGCTGAAAAAGGAAGGAGGAATATGTAAAGTACCATAGTTACCAAGGATGGTTGGCTTAAATGAGGATTTTTTAAGGATGGGGGAGACAGGAAAGGAGCTAGTAGTGAAGGGGATATTACAGATACAGAAGGGATGATAGTGGAGGCATTCTGCTGGAGAAGATGGAGGCAAATCAAGGATACAAGAGGGGGTGTGCTTTGGCAAGGAGCCACCTCTTTGGGTGAGATAGAGAAAGAGGAAATGGTAATGGAGGATGTCTGAGTGACGTAAGAGAAGGGAGAGTAAAGAGAACTTTTGGTGAATGCCATGCTCCTTTGTTCTGTCTTCTCCATCCACTCCAGCAGTCCACAGGTCTACTCTGGGTCCTTGGGCTTCCGACTAGTGAGCAGATCAGTCTGTACACAGACCTACTACCTCAGACCTACATGTTTCTGCCATGCTGGGGATGTACCTTCTGCCTTTCTTATTCTAGCCCTGAGAACAGTAATAAAATCACCAGGACCAAAACAGTCCTCTCTGACCACCACTGCCCTCTATGTGTCGTCTTCCCCATCAGACGGTAAGTTCCTCGGGGCAAGCACTTTTATGTATCTCCACTCTTTAGCTCAGTGCCCAGCACATAATAAACACTTAATCAATGTTTTACTATTCCATTTCATTCATTCTCCTCCCAGTCTAGCTTGTAACCCTTTCAGGAGGGGAAAACAGAGAATTAGCATAGTCTAAAGCCTGGTGGTGTCAATCAAGTAGAAACAAGGGCCACTGGTCTGAACATAAGGATCCCTGAAGTTAGTGACTTCTTTTTAAAATGTAATGTTATCTATGTTTTATTGTATTTTTACTTATTTTGTTAAATATTTCCAAATTACATTTTAATCTGGTTCAGGACTCAAGTTGCAGGCCATCTATATCTATCTTTGACACCTGTGATTTAAACCAATTTGTTTTTAGCCCACTTCTTCCCCAAGTGTTTACAAACCATCCTAATTTTAGTCAGTGTTTGAGACTTTTTGGCAGCTAGAGATGTCACACATTTATAATTCTTGGAAGTGCACAAGAACCTGCCTGATAAAGAATAGATGACATTCATAAAGAAAATGCATTTGATTAAATGGTAAGCAAATTCCCAAGACTTTTCAGTGATCCTTGAACAGTAGATTAGAAAACCTGTAGTCATGTCAGAAGATTGCACGTGGAACAGATGCAGAGGATGGCCATCTCAATATCTGGACATTGGGATTGGCACCCGGAAAACAAAGGCAAAAGCCAAACCCTATGATAATGTCTACTTCTGGTGTCCTGGCATTCTAGAATTCGTTTACTTCACAGTCTCTGACAGCCTGAGAATCAAGTCTCAACTAAAAATGGGCAGGCGTTCAGGGTGACTTTCCTTGGTGCAGGAGGAAGCCACAAGCTCCAACCTGAAATAACCCAGTCTGCTTGTTCCTCCATTTGATGTCTGTATGCTTACCTTTCTTTTAAAATCCGCATGACCGCTAGCATCATTTTCTTGGGCGCTAGTGTACAAATTGTAGTTAGTAGAAGACTGGGAAATAAGTTTGATCCTTATAATCCCCAAAGAGAATGATTAAAGAGAACCAGTTGGAGTTGCTATTTTCATGACACTGATGCCATAAAATGTTAATCTGGACTGCTTATTTAATGTGTTAACTTTCACAGAGTACATTTCCATAAATGTTTGCTGAGTTAAACAGATTCTTTGAGCAAAGGGAAATAATACAACGTTCAAACTGGTGAGTTTGGAATATGTGACCATAAAGCAGCACTGACATTTCCTATTAATTTCCATTCAGTAATATTTTGTATTTCCTTTTGATTTATCTAGGCTGGTAAATAATATAGGGAGATTCTCTACAAACAGATGGAATCTGTACATTTAAGAATTGAAATTCATTCCAGACAGTGAAGTTTCACATTTGAAGGCTCTTATTTTTTTTAAACTAGGGCCATAATATATTTTTTTAAATTTTTTTTCCTTCTTTCCAAAAGTATAGAGGGAAATTGTTGCAAAGAGATTATTTTATTGCATTTATTTTTTTGTGGTCTTTACATTTTTTCTTTTTTCTTAGTATTGACAAATATCAACAAACAAGCATTTCCCTACACCAAGAACAGAAAAAGCAGCTTGCACGTGAACCCATGGATCTTTACTACATACAGTTTGGTTTTTTCCTGTTTCAAAGTTAACATGATAGTTCCAACACAGTCCTGCTTGCCCCTTTCCTCTTCTGAACTTCCTTCCGCTCTCCTATGTGTATTTTTCTTTGTTTCCTTTGTTAAAGTATCATTATCACTACCCCTTGTTCCCCCAATTCCTTCCCCCATACAAGTCCTCCCTTGTAACAAATAAGTATGGTCACACAAAACAAAAGTCACGCATTGGCCATGTATGAAAACGTATGTCACGATCTGTACCTCTAGGCCACCGACCTCTCTTCCAAGAGGCAGGAAGAACAATTCATCATCAACTCTGGAGTAGGGATTAGTTGCTGTGTTGATCACAGCTCTTAAATCTTTCAAAAGTGTAGCCATTGTCTAAATTGTCCTCCTGGTTCTCCTTGCTTCGCTCTATATCAGTTCATACGGTTATTCCCAAGTTTCTCATAATCTGTCCCTTTCATAATATTTCATAGCATAGTGTTTCATGACATCCCCATACCATATAAACATGCCCTGATTAGTGGGTACTCTGCCAGCATCCAGGTCTTTGATAGAACTGGTGGGGTTGAGTTTTTTGTACATAAGAGTCCTCTCCTCTTTGTCTTGATCTCATTGGAGTAAAGGCCTCACCGTGGTATTGCTGTGGCAAAGGGTGTGTTCAGTTTGAGGACTTTGGGGGCACAGTTCCCAGCTGCTATCTAGTATGGTCGAACTGCCTCACAGCTCTACCAACAATGTACTCTCTCCCAGTGACAGTTAACAAAATCATCATCCTGCTAATTCTATAATCCTACTGCAAAAGTTGCCAATATCATATCATTTTAGCAATTATTAAGGTACTTTAAACAGGATAAGAACATAAACATTATTTTAAAGAAGCCATAACGGCCACAAGAACTCAAAGGAACTTTTAAGTAATTGCAGTAATATTAGATTCTGACCATAACAAGAGTTACAAACCAAGAATTCCCACTCTCCAAAAGGAGTACTTTCAACATAACCCATCACAAACAACAAGGGTCGTTTATTTCCCTTTTTTGTCATCTTGCAAAGGGAATTTCTAATTCTTCAGACCCCCAAATGCTGCTGCACACATCCCATTTTCCTTTCCGTATTACTGATAATCTACAAACAAAGCTGCTTTTTCTCATACATGCCTTTAGTGTACATGTCGCTGGATGTGTTCACTCAGTAATAATCACCCATCAGCAAGCACTTCTTAAGGTCCTCCCATGTGTCAGGACCGAGGCATTGGACAGAAAAGACAAGAGCCAGACAGGGCAAACAACAGATACTAGGCAATTGCTGGTGGGGAGGGAGCACATTCCAGGAACAGAGGCTGCAGATGGAGTGTCTCATATGGGGAACCGGAGGAAGGCCAGTGGAGCCGAATCACAGAGTTCATGAAGGGAAGTGACGTGCAATAAGGCTGAAAGGGTATGTTGGGGTCAAGTTGAGAAGAGCACTGAATGCCAAGTGTTAACTACATTTGTGTTTTCCTTTGGGGTTGTTAAAATGCCATATACATTATCTCATTTGAGCCAGGTGCTAGAGTTATTATTACTCTGATTTTCTTAACTTCTCTGAGGCTCAGATAATTGAAATATCTTTCTTGCTCGTGGTCAGTGAGTGTAATCTTTTGGTGATTAACTGGTCATGTCCTGCTTTGGCGGACCATTTTTTGCAACAGCTGTTCCTGATATAATATTTACAAGTTCACATTTCTCTGGCTATATTGAACATACCTAAAAAGTAACTAACCCTAAATTAGATAATTATCCACAACAGAGACTTTCATTTCCACCCAGGCCTAGGGAGCCAAAAGGAAAGGCTTAATCTTAGCCTGGGGTTACTTTTCCTGACTTTTATAAGCTTGGTGACTAAGACAGAAGGGACTGACCTTATCAGGGAGTGATTATAATGGGGAAGGCCAGGAATGAGCTTTACAAAATAGTATCACATTTGATCCTCAGAACAACTTGGAGAAGTAAGTACTATTATTGTTCCCATTTTACATATGAGGAAACTGAGGCAGACAGAGGTTTAATGACTTGCCTAGAGTAACATAGCCAGTAAGTTACCAAGGCTGAATTTGAACCTAGGTCTTCCTGACTCCAAGCCCAGCCTCTCTATCTACTGTGCCATAGTTGCATTCAATGTCTTTGTTTTGAGCTAATTGTGCCCTCTGAAAGACTAGAGCAGGGGTGAGGAACCTGTGACCTTCTGACTGAGTCCAGGTTTTACAGAACAAATCTTTTTCTTCAGGGGATCTGTTCTGTGAAGTTTGGGTTCAGTCACAGGGCCCCACCTGAGGAGCCAGAGGGACACATGGGGCTTCACAGCCGAAGGCTCCCCACCCCCTGGACTAGAGAAAAAATAACATTAATGAGGGGAGGGGAGGGGAGGTTGTAAGCTATCATTTCAAGTGAATTTGAACTCACAAACTGCCTTGAATGTGTAAGTTATTTTGGGGAGCTTATGTGTCAGATGGGGGGGTTCTCTAATTTTTATTTCACTATTAAAGTTATCTAAAATGAATGGTAACCACATCCAAGGAGATGAGCGCATATTTATTCATGCCTCCTAATTATATTTTTCATCTTCATCTATAAATGTTTAATTGGACTGAATTGGAGCTATATTTGGGTCATACTTTTCCTATACTTTTACCACTATGGAGAAAGACCCAAAGCATTTCTAGTTAAACAGTGAGTAAAATCAGAGGATCTTATACTGGAAATGAGCTTGCCCCAAGCCAGGTCACGGGACTCCACGTAGAGCATGTGATAATTTATCAAGCAAGTAAACTAAGTCTCTTCTAAGGACTGGCCAATACTGAAATCATTCTGGTAATCACAGGTAAATCTGGATTAGGGAAATGAGAGTCATCATCAGTTCCTTACTCTCACTCAAAACACAGCTAGTTCCACTTCTAGCTCTACTTCCTCTGTCCCCTCCTGTCCTCTCACCTGAACTACTACAATCACCTACCAATTGTTCTCTCCCATCTTGATTCCCTCTACCACAGAGGTACCAGAAGTAATTTTCCCAAAGAGTAGATCTGACCATGTTACCTCCCTACTAAATAAAGACCGGCACCCTATACCTCTTGTAGTAGATGTCAGTTATGTCTAGCATTTAAACATCTTCCCAAACTCACCTTTTCCTACATTTCTTGTCTTTGTATGCATCATTCCCCTCTGCCTACTCTGTGGTCCATCCTACCGGCCTCCTTTTAGTCCCTGGCAGAGTACTCCATCCCTCACGGGTGTGCCTGTGTACTGGCTGGCTCTCACTCCTGGAATGCTCTCCCTCCTTACCTTCACCCTTCACAATTCCTGTTCTCCTATTGGTCCCCCCCAAGCTGCCAGT